TGTTTCGCTTCCAAAAACCTTTGCCCCTGGGGTTAGAGGGTAGAGCTACATTTAGAGTAATCATCGAATGGTCCATTTTGAAACCGGGAACAATATCTGCGTGCTTGACATCACATAAAGATGATTCACTTACTTGAAAAAATCGAGTCGGCAATGTATGACTGGTTGGTTTTGACGCCAAGTATATCTCCTGGCCTCTGGGTTGAAAAGTCTCCAAACATCAGTTAAACCAAGATTTTCAGAGAATTCTCAAATCGCCTTTGAAACTCATTTATGTCCGGCTCTCTTGCTATGGTATCACCAGTGAGCCGTAGGTTAAAAATTTATAGGAAAATTGCGTTACATCCAAATTTCTCCATATTTGGAGTGCTAAAAGTTAATAAAATTACTCGTTTACTGGCCGATTTTGACACTTAAATGTGGCCTGCATGACGAATTTTGCTACATCAAGTTATTTCACTTTTGAAATGGCGGAGCCCGTGGGACAAAATTTAAACAATTTCAAAGATCCTGAAGATGGTTTTTAGGGAGGAAAACAATTCAGAAGGTATCTTAAGTAATTATGAGAGTAATTTCCTGAATAATCTCGAAATTCGAAGCGAGAATTATAGGTAAACGAACGTTCGTGTCTCTTCGCGTGGGTTCGCGATACAAAGACATGTTGTTCGAATGCGACTAAATACTCTTTAAATGGCCAGTTTACGTTTACAATACCTCATTATATTATTGATTTATGTGTATTAAGTAAATTTACGAAGCGTTCAGCCAAATACCTATGGATAAAAGCTTCGTTTTGTTGCATTTCGATGCAGACTCGAACTTGCAAATGCGGGCGGTTGCCATGGTTACTGAAACACGCACTTTCTCTTTACCTCTCGGAAAGAAAATCGTAGTTAATTCTAGATTTTCTCGATTTCTATTCGGTTTTCAGGATGCGTTTGTTTATATATATCGGAAAGCAGTGAAAATTCTCATGAAATTCAAACAGCAGAGTGGTTATACAACATTTTTGAGTTTTTCTCTATTTTTTTACCTTTTATTGATAAATTCGTCTAATTATTCTTTTTGAAAAAAATATATTACTTTCCATTAACTCAACCTATTTTATTTCTGGAAGATAAATCTTGTGTCCTTTTAAATAAGATATAGTAAACTGCATTGCTGTAAATACTTGTCAACGTATTGAATAAAGAATTATGTGTTAAATTTGTCATTGTTTTGGCGGGGGGTAGAGGCACAGCATTGAGTTTTTCTATGTGCTCTGGCAAGGCCACCCCTCCTGTTTTTTTCACCGTTAAGAACCGAGTTAAATTCCCCACCAATTATAACTTCCTTTCATTTAAAACTTGATAAATGATAATGATTGAGTTACATAGAGTCGATGAGCCTTCTCCACAGCTTCTGTCTTATCCTTGAATTGTTGTCCAGTAAAAATGTTCCCGCTTTAGATCGTCATCTTTCTTCGCTGTAGTTTGAAAATCTTCTAGCCTTCGGGTTCGTTTCTCTAAGTTCTCGAGATTGGCCTCAATTTTCTTCACGGCTGATTCTAATGAATCACGCTTTTCCATTTTTGCTAGGATTGCTCGTAGAGTTGCACCAACATGTTGTGTCATACTGAGAGCTGTCATTATTTCCTCTTCTTGATGCGTTGACGAGGAGTATGGCTTCGTTCTTTTGATTTCCGGCGAAAGAGCGGATTCGTCGGAAGAGGCTGAAGATCTGGTTTTTCTTTTGCTCAAAAAGTTGTCCGAAACAATCGGCCATTTGCCAAAACAGAGCAAAAAGATGGGTGAGCGGCTGCAACGCACGTCTTTACTCCGCCATTACTCAACCCAGTCCCCGAACATAAATCTTGGCACCTTTGTGTGCTCCTTTGATGTTTGCCGGGCTTCATAACCATTCTGCTCTAGTAACACTGCCGGTTATTGAACAGTTATTCTACGAGCGCGCGTTGGATATTTGAGTTGGCTATGATCATGTCACATCCAACAATCGCGAGCGAAATAATTGTTAGATATACTTGCATCTACTGTAACTTAACGCAAGATTTAAAAGTTTGTAAGCAACACCTGGGTTAAATCTGTCTTTACATGAGCTTTTGTCATGCAGACATTTTTAATCATTCCTACCTTCCTCGGGCTGAATGTTTAGTTCCTTGAACGCAGCTTCCATCCCGGTATCCTTACTGCCTTCTTTTTTAGGATTTTCAAGCGACATTCCCTCATCAACTTCCCTCAGTGGCTTGTCTAATTCCCTTTTATCACCATCATCTTTCTCTGCAAATAAAAATGTGGCCAGACCGATTTTTCACAATACACCCATGCTTTTATATCACTATACGAAATTCTTCGCTCAAATGAGTAATACTTCGAGAGCAACACAACAGTCTATACTGTTTTGCTGCCTGTAGTAACTTAAACCAGCCTTTAAGCTAATTTTTTAGTCATTTTTATGCGGCGGATGCAGGATTTTAGAGAGGAGAGGCCGCCGAAGGCGTTTCCGTGTAGGGGGATCCGGGGGCATGTTCCCTCAGAAAATTTGTAAATTTAGGTCCTCGGAGATGGGATTTCCGGTAATCTGAAGCCATGTCAGCGTGTTACGATGTCTCACTATTATCAATTTAGGGAGTTCGACCGAACCCCCGAACCCCTTGATC